AATTTTTATAATAGGGAATCAGTTGTTCAAGTTATCTTTTAAAACTGTATGAAAATCACTGTTGGATTATCAGTTTGTTAGGAGTTGGGTGTTTAAAAAGAACTAAATATTTAGGTAAGGATTCTTTAAATTGTAATTTTTGTATTTGTTATTAATAATGAAATAACAGTTAATTTTCCTAGAATGTAAAGCAATTACCATAATTTCATGCTGATAATCCATGAGTTATCTGTGTTTAAAAGTCAATGTGAAATTGGATGCAAGTTATACAATGATGTGTTATATGCCGATTTTAAAATTCAATTGCAAACTCGTCAGACAGGTTATTCCTGTAATTTAAAAAAAAACTTGATCCATTACTTCTTTACAGTGAATCATTTTGTGCATACACAATTTACATGAGAAATATCACTGCTAACCAATCATAGATGTGTACATAAAATTCAAATGTTTTAAATTTTAATTTTTTTAATTGGCATTCTTTTAGTCTCACAAACACAAATGAACAATATGGAAATTCTCATTTTTAAAATTTTCAAAATTCTTTTAATTAACTGTATTAAATTAATAAGTATAGCATTTACAATAATTTTAATAATGTTAAATTTAAATATTTCAAAAAAACTGTGTAAATATAATGTTTAATTAAATGTAAATGTCTAGAGAACAGAATGGCTCATTTCACTGATTAGTTGCATTTAACTGTGGATAGCCTTGGAACTCATAAATATTTATATTAATATTTTATTACATGCAGTATTTACTGTATATAATTATCAGTTTTGACAATCTCGTATGTAAATTACCATAAAATACATTCAGAAAGATTTTATTTTATTCACCGTACAAGAAGAGGAAATGACTATCAACTTTTAATTATCTCATGTTTAAAATAAAGCATTAATAAAGAAACATTTTACATATTTCATTTATTCAAAAAAAAAAAAAAAAAAAAAACAATGGCTAAAAGGGCCTGTTCTGCTCTTGGGCCCCATACAATGTCTCAACAGCTTTGTCTATTATACAATGAATTATGATACTAAGATATCAAATGTTTTTAATAAAATGTAATGAAAGTTTAAAAATAAAAATAACACACCAGTTACATGATTTTACAATATCTATAATTTAGTCTCTATTAAATTTATTTTCTTATTGATTTTATAATTAAAACATTTATAGTAATTTATTATTAATTTTAATATAAATTTTTATATATTTCTCTTAATTACAATAAAGGTGCAAGGAATTCTGAATGTGAAATACCTGTTAATGAAATTGGCTTTTTATGGGATGGCATTTGTTTTGGAGCACTGTTGCTTCAAAAATTATTTTTTAAAAGTTACTATTTTGAGCATGTTGTAAATGAAATAAGAGCACAACACATCCTTGCTTCAAGGTAAAAATCTTTGTTCTCTGTTAGATTTAGTGTTCTAAAATGAAATAAATTACATAAATAGTTGTTTCATATTTTTCACTTCATTTATTTTAATTATCTTTTAATTAAAATAAATGAAATGAAAACTATGATAACTATGAAAAAACTACATTATAGAAAGTATCTAATTTATGTACATTCAAACATTTGTGCAGTTACCATAATTACAAAATTAGTCATAAAATTTTTATGTAGAAATAATTTTTTTTTTTGTTAATTTATAAATCCTGGATNTATATTTCATTTATTCAAAAAAAAAAAAAAAACAAAAACAATGGCTAAAAGGGCCTGTTCTGCTCTTGGGCCCCATACAATGTCTCAACAGCTTTGTCTATTATACAATGAATTATGATACTAAGATATCAAATGTTTTTAATAAAATGTAATGAAAGTTTAAAAATAAAAATAACACACCAGTTACATGATTTTACAATATCTATAATTTAGTCTCTATTAAATTTATTTTCTTATTGATTTTATAATTAAAGCATTTATAGTAATTTATTATTAATTTTAATATAAATTTTTATATATTTCTCTTAATTACAATAAAGGTGCAAGGAATTCTGAATGTGAAATACCTGTTAATGAAATTGGCTTTTTATGGGATGGCATTTGTTTTGGAGCACTGTTGCTTCAAAAATTATTTTTTAAAAGTTACTATTTTGAGCATGTTGTAAATGAAATAAGAGCACAACACATCCTTGCTTCAAGGTAAAAATCTTTGTTCTCTGTTAGATTTAGTGTTCTAAAATGAAATAAATTACATAAATAGTTGTTTCATATTTTTCACTTCATTTATTTTAATTATCTTTTAATTAAAATAAATGAAATGAAAACTATGATAACTATGAAAAAACTACATTATAGAAAGTATCTAATTTATGTACATTCAAACATTTGTGCAGTTACCATAATTACAAAATTAGTCATAAAATTTTTATGTAGAAATAATTTTTTTTTTTGTTAATTTATAAATCCTGGATCTGTAGCAAGATTAATTTGTAACTATATCAGAAGGTTTTTATAGTAAAGCAATTTGCTAAAATTTTATCATATGTCAGAAAAATTCATACATTTTTTTAAGACAGAAAAAAGGATAAAAAAATAATTTTTTTAAATCACATTCTATTTTTTTCTTGAATATGATTAATATGAAACTTCGATCTGTATAAATTAAATATAATAAAGTTTCTTTAATAAATATAGGTTATTGTGAAATCCAAATTAATTAACAATTAAATTAATCTTATTTACTTAATGTAGCAATTACAGTAGAGCGTTGTTTATCCGAATCAATTGGGGACTGGGGTTGTTCGGATAACCAATTATGTACGAAAAAATATATTAATTTATCCCGTGTTGAAATTTTTCTCCGTTGCGTGTCACTTTGCGTTGAATTTTCGTCAATGTTAAGCCTAACGAAGACTATTGTATCGTTAAAAATTATTTTTTTATTTTGCACAAACAAAATAAATATATTGAAAAATATAAAAACAATAAAAAATTATATTTCAGAAGTTAATTTAGTATCAAAAACATAAGATATTTAAGTAGCCGAAGACATAGCCAAAGATTACAGCGCCACAGCACTGGCGAAAATTTAAATTTGTTGACTGGAATTCCTTCAGATAACCGACCTTCGGATAATGACGCTCTACTGTATAGGTTTTTTTGTTTTTTGTTTTTTTTTTTTGCATACTTCACAGTCAAGCCCAAATGGAAACTTACATGAACATTATCTTTCCTTTGGAACATGCCATGGTATGATTGATATTGCATAGATTACAATGGAAGTTAAACACTACTCAAATTGCTTTGAATATAATTTTTATTTATTATGTTTTATTTATCAATTAACTATACATAGACTTCTTTTATGATGAGAGACAACTTACAAAATTTCTTCCATATGTCAATAGAATAGTTCAGATCAATGTCACAAAAAGGTGGCATTGGTGTGACTTTTATTTATTTTAGTTGCTTCTTAACCCTTTTCTTCTAAAATTCCAGGCTTTATTTTTCTAGCTCTTTACTTGGCTTGTGTTTGTTAGCATTTTCAGGGGGAGTTCATGGGATTGGTTTATCTGGAAGGGTCATTGCAGGCACATCTTTAGGTATAGGCCTACCGGGCCTAGGCCCAGGGCAGCCAGACATTAAGAGCCTCCTAACATTTGAGACCTTGAAAATATGCAAAATTGAATAGAGCAACAAGTAACAAATGATTATAAACAGTAAACAATCAAAAGATATGTTTGATAAATTTTATTAAACATAAATATAACAATATGTTTAGCAGAGAAAGCTAATTGAAAAAATTTATGAACATTAACCCTCCATTACGAATTCCTTAAGGGGGCCTCCAAGCTTTTCTTGGCCCAAGGCCTCTCATGTACCAAAGACAGGCCTGGGTCATTGAGGTGTTTTTGAAATTGTTGTCAGGTCATGGAAAAAGAGGACAATTCACATCCATTGGGGATATATTATACCAAATCAAGAGTCACAGCAATGACTCCCTGCCAAGTAAAAAAGTCACTCTTTAAAACTTAAAATTTTTTGGTTTTTTTTTTCAGTAATTAACATCACACAAGGAACTCTTATTGATATAGACCAGTGGTGGGCAAGCAAAAGTTCAGTGGAAGCCGAAATGTAGGTTTTGCAAAAAGCATGGGAGCCGCAGTTCTGTACTTTTTTATTCTGTACCGAAATTCTGTACCGTGATTTTATTATATAATATAAATATAATATAAAACAAATATTGAATTTTTTTAATAAACATATTTTCACAAAATTGTGGAAATAAAATTGTAAAAATAATAATAAAAAGCAGAAATTAACACTTTCAGCAAGAGCCGCATGCAACTCAAAAAGAATCGCATTTGTCCATGTGTGATATAGACTTTATTATTGTATGTGGAATTTTTGTCGATGTTAAGCCTAATGAAAATTTTTTTTAAAATAATAATCATGGCTACTGTATTGTTAAAAATTATTTTTTTATTTTGCATATACAAAATAAATATATTGAAAAATATAAAACAGAAAAATTATATTTTGAAAATTTATTTTAATATAAAAATTATAATGCATAGTGACATCCAGTATCAAAAATGTACTGATACTGTAATGAGATATATCGGGTTTAACCCTGCAGGTGAAAGGTTATGATATATGTCAGGAATAACACAGCTGAGGTTATGACCCAAAATGCATATCCACATCCAATAATAAATTCTATACCAATAGTGTGATATAAGTTACGAAAAAAAAGCCAAAAATTTTAGGCTTTAAACATCTACAGAAACTAGTAACAGAAATGGTCATAAAAAGTCACTGACTGACTATATATATATAGGAATCAGGGTTTCCAATTTTTGGTGGTTGATTCTCCACCCTCCAAATGTCTAAAATAATTCTGAATATCTTGTTCAAAAGAAAATTCTTTACTTATAGAGAATGCAAAGTTTAGAAATTTTCTATAAAGGGGTTGCTGAAATATAAGCAATTGAAAAGTGCAAAAATCACCAAACAAGCTGTATTTTTTTCTTCTTTTTATCTGACACTGCAGATGCTCTTAGAAAGAAACTATTTGGTCTAGAAAGCTCAAATTTTAAACTTAAGCCTTTCTTGTTATGAATGAGGTGATGGTGAAACTTCTGGCTGGTGGGGCAAAGTTCCCATAGAGCTAATTCACTTTTATGGCTTAATTTTATACTTATAAAGATAAAATTGAATCTAAACAATGAATTTTCTTCAAAATGTTACTCAGAATAACAAAAGCTCAAAGTTATGTGAATTAAAACTTTTATAATTTTTCTAAGTGGAATATCAAAAGCATCAGTCAGTGATATGTTTGATTGGCAGTGTAAATTGTACCATAAAGTGTTGTGACTTCACCACAATGCCGGACTGCAATTTTGTTGGCTACATGTTTGATCAGTGCTCAGCAACCATCGACCAAATTGCACATCATTGTCTTATGTCTTGATGTAATAATACAATTATTAAACAAAAAAACAACTGATAACTAAACAAAAACATCTGAGATGTAAAAATTTAGACAACAGTCAAAATTTTTCTTAGCAGTTTTTCTTTGGTAAAAATAAGCTTGGCACTTGGAAGTGAAATGTAGTGTGGTGTGTATGTGGATGAACAATACAATACAAAGTTGTACACACAAAAAAAAAGGAAAGCTTTATTTTCCTTTTCGCGTGGTTCTCTGTACACTTGGTTCTTTAGGATCCCAACTATGTAGCTCCTATATGTATAAGACAGTTTCGATAGGTCCTTTTGTATGAACAAAGGCAGGTGACACGTGTCTGCAACAAAAAATGATTTAAATTGAGATATATTTCTGAATTATTATAACTAACTTAAACAATCTTAAACTAACTTATATACTAAAAACAAAGAGAAAAAAGTAAGATGAGATGAAGGACTCATAAAAGTGCAAAGAAAACAAAGAGAAGGTTGGTGGGGTACCCAGGCCTTTTGTAGATCTTCAATTTTCACAATGTTGGGAGTTGTGCTCAATTTGTCTTTTTTTCTGTCCTTTTCTATATCAAAAATCTGAAAATCCTGAAGTATTCACAAAGCTCTCAGTCTCAGCAACAGTACTATTCACTTGTTTCTCTCCAAATGACCTAAGGTCTATTTCTTGTCCTACTGAACGCTGACTTCGACCTTTCTCTTTCCGTCTGCTTTCCTCAAACGCTATCTCAAGAAATGCCCCTTTTTCTTTTCTGACACCCTCGAGGCATTTTCTCTCTTTTTTGTTCCCCCTTTTTGTTCTTGGACAACAGTTGCCCCCACCTGTAGAGAAGGAATGGATGAGAAAGTTCTAGAAACAGTGACATGAAGGTCAAAGGCTTAAGATTAATATAAAACATATATTTAACCCCTATGTATATAGGCATGGCATACTGCCACAGTAGAATACAATAATACAGGTAAAAATCTTTTGGATATTGCTTCCAAGTACCAAGCTTATCTTTACCATGAAAAACTGCTAAGAAAAATTTTGATTGTCATCTAAATTGTCATAAGTTTTTACTTGGTGCGATTTTTTATCTCTCAGATGTTTTTGTTTAGATAGTAACAATACATTATATGGTTGGTGCTGAATTTCAAAAATTTTTCTAAAAAATTAGTTTTATGGTTTTATGATAGTCAAAGGGAGAAGTGTAATAACTCCCATAGATCAAAATCCACAGATTGTATGAAGAAAGTTATATGATAAGGACTCAATAATTGAACAAATCCGCATGTACATAACCATCAAAACAAAACAATTATTTAATCTGATTGCTCTCAATACATATAACATGGGAGCCAGGTAGTACAATTAACACAATCATTTCACACTACACAACTAATTCGTGTTCTAACTAGATCAGAATATTTACACATTTATACATACACCTCCCGCTCCTCTTTACACTTAATTCCCACGTTAGCCCTGGAGAATTCACGATAACACGTTGACTCCAAATATGATGAAAGCACGTGTGTACTGATCCTCAATAATTCAAAATGAAATGTTCCATTGAAGTCCTAGGGTGATCCCTGACACACTACATATATATTACTTGCTGATATATCACTAATTAGGCACGATGGACATGGATTGTCCCAGTCTGGTAGAAATTATCCCTTTCATGACTGATCACCATGAACATCCTCTTTAAGGTCCCTGCTAGTACTTCACCTTTTGTCCTTCTAGAACAGTCCAAGGAAAAAAAAAAGAGAGCACACAAGGTGAAAGTTCCCCAATTTATACTTCTCACCATCTGGAAGTAAGTCTTCTGCATGTGGCACTCCCCTTGACCAATCAGTGTGTTCCAAACGTTGTACCCCAAAAAAGGTAACACCAGGACAAAAGAGGAGGAGATACCATGATATACCGTACAAATTTTAAAATGAGATACATAATAGCGGGACATTAATTACAAATTAATTAACGACAAACAAAAAAATTTATCTTTTTATTCGACTATATGTTGTATATATAATATATATACATACATACAACATATACAGGTAGTTGTATAGTAGTACAGAAGCATACAGATGATAGAGTACTTAGCATATAGTATCATTAAAAGTTTAGTGTGAATTTTTGCAGAAAGAAAGAAAATTTGAAGATAAACAAATTGAATAAAGAATTATTTTATGATATTATCATCATCATCAAACTTTATTTAGCAGTAGGAAATTTTCCCTGTTGCTGAGGGGAAGTACATTTTAAATTAGTAGAATACAAATTATTGAACATTTATAACAGTACAATAGTTGTAATAGTTATTTTATAATCAGTTACATTTTAGTTTTACTTTGATATGTTTAACAATGAATAAAATTACAAATTACATTTTATGTTGATACAGTAGAGCGTCGATTTTCTGAATCAATTGGGGACTGGGATTGTCCGGATAACTGATTTACATACGAAAAAGTAGTTTAATGTATCCGATGTCGAAATTTTTCTCCGTTGCGTGTCGNTTCAAACTTTATTTAGCAGTAGGAAATTTTCCCTGTTGTTGGGGGAGAAGTACATTTTAAATTAGTAGAATACAAATTATTGAAAATTTATAACAGTACAATAGTTGTAATAGTTATTTTATAATCAGTTACATTTTAGTTTTACTTTGATATGTTTAACAATGAATTGATGATATGTTAAACAATGATATGTTTAACAAAAAATTACAAATCACATTTTATATTAATAGTAGTAGTAATACAACAGTATATATAATAAGCATTATTTTTTTTTTCTAATTTACTTTGATAAGTCTAATTAGTTAACATTTTTGTGCTTTTGATAAAGAGATATTACATATTATTATATTTGTTACCAGAATATTCACTGTGAATATTTGTTTATAATAGTCTACTTAATAATATATTTAACATTTTTTATAATGTAAGAACAAGTAATTTTTCACATTTTTTTTATAGTTATGCAGTTGATCATTATTTCAAGTTTACCCAGTTAGTTTAGTATTCCAATTTTTTGATACATTTGGTAAAGTAATTATATATTTTATAGAGTTCTAATTTATTCATATTGTTTAATTTGTTTTTATAATTATGAAAGGAATCTCCTTGCAGAATTTGAGTAATATTGAAGAATTCACATGTTTTTGATAGATTATGACATTTTAAAAGTAGATTCTGTTAATTCTGCTATGCGTGCATTGAAGTCTCCCAGTAAAAGTATATTCAGAGTAATATGTTGCCAGCAATCTATTAGTTTGAATATTTCATTTAGTTTTGATAGGTTATTGGGTGGAATATAAGTAATCATTAATATTATTTATTTGTAGTCTTTATTACTTAATAATGGTTTATTCATTGCAATTAGAAGAAGAATATAGTTATCCGACTTTTCAATATGTTGTATTTTACAAATATGTTTTTTATATAAGTATACATAGTTTTCCACTTGGGCATCCAGGACCTGGAGATTTTTGAGCTGGAACTGATATTGTAATATAGTTGTTTAAGAAGTTTGAGTTGTAAGATGATTCAGATATAATTCAAGTTTATGTAATTCCAATTATGTCTGGGTCGTATTTCTGTTGAAAGATATTTAGTGAAGAAATTTTACTTTTTAGACCTTGACTATTCCAGTTTATAATCAGAGTTGCCTTTTTATTATTATTGATTTTTGTCTAGTGATTTTTACTATGCTGTCCATATCAACTTGTTGGTTCTGGTGTTATGATAAAAGGAAGAAAGTTATCCACATTTACTAAATTTCTCGTTTCAAGGTTAAATGTTATTCTGTTTCAGTCTATTATTAGGATATCATTTTGTAGTTTAACATAATGGTTTTGTTGTTTTAGATCGTAGTAAATTGGTAGTAATTGTTTCCTTCTTTTTCGTGACTTGTTAGTGAGATATGGTGCAATTTGCAGATTTTCCCAATTTCCTGATAGTTTTTGTTGCTTCTTTGATATGAATGTATTAAAAACTTGGTCTCAGATCTGTTTATTATTAAAGGTTACTCTAATAACTGGGTTAGTTAATTTATTTATTTGAGTTATTTCTAAGATTTCATCTTGAGATATGTTGTTTACGTCCAAGGAAGTATTAATAAATTTAAGAATTTCTGGTTTAGAGACGTTTTTTGAAGTGGGATAGTTATATAATATTATTTTATTATAGTGATAGTCGTTAACCAAAGTATCCATTTTATATTGCATTAGATCTTTTTGAAGTTTTAAATTATCAATTTGCTGTTTCAAGTTGTCTATTTGATCTTCCATTCTTTGGAATTGTATTTTGTTTTCTTGTATCGTTTTGTGTATTAAGTTCAGGTCTTCTTTTATTGATGTCATTTGTAAAGATAGTGTATCATTAGATTTATTGATTAATTCCAAGATTTTGCTCCATAGATCTGCTGTTAAGGTGTTGTTTGAATTTAACAGCGAGGATGAATAAAAGTCACTGCACTCACCTGGTAGATTTTGTGGAGTGGTATCCATATTAGTTCCATTTGAATCTGTTGGAAATTCTTGTGTGCTATTTTCCACTATTGTGTTATAATTTGTTATTAGTTTCATGTTAGTTGCGTTTGGTTGCATTCTTTTACTTTTGATTTTCGTTCGGCTTAGCAGAGGTCGACCACGTTTAACAGGAGAACGTTGCATAGTTATTAGTTGTTATTAATCCTTGTATCTAGTAATTTCTTATTAGTTTAGAACACTATTAATTAAGAAAACTGGAAAAAATTGCACAAGTTCCTTGTTACTTTCCGAAATGTTAACAAAAAATCACCAACAGCGCTGCTGTCCAGATATGCCCCCCATTTTATGATATTATTAAAATATTAAAGAAGAGGCTTAAGGTAATGTCCTGGACTTAACATAAGTGATTTCATAGGCAAATACTGATGATGAAAATGATCCCAATCATACTTTTTAAAACTGATTTATTATTGAAATTAAGTGTTAAATGTCTCTTGTAACACTTGTAATTCATTTTCAGCTATTTTTAGACTTTAAAACTTTTCACAACAAATTCTTCTGATACTTATATAATATATATACACAACACACATAATTTTAAATTACTTATTTTATATTATATATATGTTACTGTGAATGACTAATTTGTAATTTTAAAAATTAAAATTAAAAATTTAAATTGTGTGTAAATATTTATAAATTTTCAACATTTAAATCAAATATTGATAACTTTAGAGGTGCTGAACTTTTATATGAAATCCATATGAAAGAAGTTCAGGAACAAAAGAGAGCTGAAAAAGAAACAATGAAAAAAATAAAACTTAAGTTGGATCGAATTCGAGCTCATCAAAAAAAAAGAAAATATAACAAAGTTTCAGAGACTCACTATAGAGGTAAAAAAAGTATTTTTAGAATTTATTAGTGTGTTTACATTAATCTAAGAATCTTTTGCACTTACTTGAATACACTAGTTATTTACATTATCTAAACAAAAACCAATAAAAGATAAGACTAACGGAAATTTCAGAATTATTATTTACTAGATAAATAAACTTTCAAATTATATTTAATGGCTGCATTTATTTATATAAAATATATATTGTAATCTTATTTATATTTAATCTTTTCAAAACTTCAAAGAGTATAAATATCTTACATTTATTCTTTCATCTTTTCTATTGCATGCCTGTTGTTGTTATGTTCCATTATAAATTACAGTATTTTAGTATAATAATAATAATAATAATGTCTGTTTAATATATTATTAACAGAAAATAATTTTTATGTATAATTGGGGTTTTATATAAATTTTTCATAAACTATTTTTTGTAAGTCAAAAATAACACATAACATTGAAAATTTTATGAAGTATTCTAGAAGAAAAATTTATACAAAATTACAAAACAATCAAAAAGTTGTCCACTTTCTGATCAATGGACAATTAGTTGTGTATTGATTCATTAATGCCTAATGAAATGAAATTATCAGATATTTTAATACAGTGGGTGATTGGTTAACAAGCATAATCTGTTCTAAGACTTTGTTCACTATCTGAATTGTTCATTAACTGATTATTGATTTACCATAGGTTTTTATGGAAATTTGACTAATTCATTCTGGAGACCCCCAAAAATAAAACATATATACTTTCTTACTACGTTTATTTGTATGTAATAAAAAATGTACTTAAATACACAGTCTTGCATTTTTATTAGTCATGTTTTTTCCGTTTGAAAGAGTTAAAGAATCTGTCTAATATCGATTGCTTTTCTCTCTTCAGGATTTTTCATAAGTAATTAATAGCATTGCAATTGTAGAAATCCCCAAGCCTCAACCTGGTTTGGATGCCATTCTAAGACTGCTGTTCTGACAGCCTCCCATTTTTTCAAAAGATCTTTAACAGCAGATATCGGCATTAATCCTCGTTTTCAGAAGAAAACATATCTTGCCAAGTTTCTTGGTGTTCTTCATTCAAGAGTTCTTGGTGTTCTTCTGTCATCAGATCTGTTTCAGGTTCCATTATGAACTCTTCGATGTTCTTTATTTCTCAGATGTGATTTTTGTTACTCTTTTAGCTGCTTGAGTCTTCTTGATTATACTGTATCTTTCTTAGATAAGATTGAACTGCGGCCTACTGTAGACCTGTTCACGCCATACTGCCCAGCAACATTAGACATCTGCCCACTCTCTACCTTTGCTATTATACTCTCACCTTTCGAAAACTTAACGACAAAACTTACTGCCTGCCCGACAGTCTCATGAATACTATAAAAGAATTGTTTTTGTCAGAAAAATAAAAGGCTGGAATTACAAGGGAGAGTTTCAAAGTTCGGAGGAATACTATCTGATCAGTATATATCGGGTTGGACATTGATGTCAATGGTATTCATTATTTTATGTTGCTTCTTCTTGTATTTGTTTTGTGAGGTGTTTGTTATCCGAACATGTGTTCGTTGTTTGAACATAACAAACATTTTCACAAAAGTTTTTTTATCTGATTTGTTCGTTAGCCGATCACCCACTGTATTTATTAAATGTTAAGACATGCTATTGTTTTATACATTAATTTTTTTTAAAGTTGGATTAATATATATTTGGTAAAGTTATAATTTTTCAATTAATATGCTAATTTTAGTAATACGTTCTGGAGATTTTGATACAATTGAAGAATATTTTGAAGATACTATTGAATTTGAAAATAAAAATAGAGATGAATCAGTGGATAGAGAAGAAATAAAAAAACCTGTTGAAAATCAAAAACATGGATTTATTGTAAGTATATATTTATATGTTATGTTGTGTTTATTTATGTATGTTACATGTAGTTTCTGTTTTTGTGTGGCATATTGTTGGGGAATAGTAATCTCAGGCTAAATAGCATTACTAATTTTAAAATAGTTATTTTTCAGATATGCTAAAGTATTATCTTAATGAATTTATATAACCAATAATATTAACAGAGGCTAGTGATTTTGTGTGTATTTTTCACATCATTGCAAAAATTATACTAGCTTATTAATTTTCCTAAGTATAAGATAAAGTTTATTATTATAACTATTTACAGAAGAGCATAGATTATCTGAAACAATTCAGGACTGGAATTGTTTGGATAACTGATCACTTACAAAAAATATATTAAACACAAAACTGTACTGTATATATTTTGTATCACACATCTTACAAATACATACCTTATGTAAAGTAGTTTATTAAAGTAGGCCTACAGTTTAGATTGGCAGGGAGGGGAGAGTGCTGCAGCGCCACAGCACTCTCCCCCTAGCGGAAATTTGAATTTGCTGACTGGAACACTTTCAGTTAACTGATGTTTCAGTTTATTGGTATTCGGATAATCAATGCTCTATTTTATTCATAATGCTTTTGTGTTTTATTGATTTGCATATATTTATAAAATTTATATTTGTAATGAAATATAATATCATGGTAGTATACCACGATATTATACACTATGTTACCATTTTTTAAGTAAAATAAAAATCCTTAAAATACTGTTGCATTGTTAATTTAAATGTTTCCTGAATTATTTAAGTTTAAACATTCCTAGATAATAAACAAATGCAATATTATTCTGATCTATGTAAAACAAAAAACTAATTTTAATACATAATTAATGTGAATTTATATATATATACAGTTTAACCTGCTTATAACGTCATCCATGGGACCGGCAGTTTTTTGATGTTATAACTGAGTGTCGTTATCTGCGGGGTCATAATTTCAGTCCCACAAAAGTATCAAGTCTGTTTAAGAATCTATTATAAAATTCATCTAATTTAATATCGTATGTATAAAAGTGCAAACTAAATATTTAAATCAACTTTATTTACATTATTATGTCTAAATTTACAACGATGTAATTAAAAATTTCAAAAATTATTTTTTATAAGAAATTTTTATTTGTCAAGTTTCGATAATGGCGGCACTTTCGGTTTTAACGCCTGGATGATAATTTTCTCGTTTCTTGCTTATCTATCAATGGACATGAAGTCCAATATATTTCACTTTTAGGTTAAATTAATGTATATCAATTAAAAAAAAACAATAAAAATATTCACTTAAAAAAAGTCAGTTATTTTAGATTGTAAACTACAACACGAGTATGAGAGCTATGCAGACTAACCCACTGTCACGTCGTTTAAAGGGGTGGCGCATCTCACCCCACCGAATCAGGTGGTGACAGTACCACCCACAATCGTTCTAGGAAGGGACTCTGACTGAACACGTAGTATTTTCTTTGATAAATAAAATTTATAATTTAATTTTGTAAATTTAAGAGTGCTTCAAATATGACGTTAAAACAGGGTTTTATGTCGTTACAAGTGGGTTTTTTAACATTATCTAGTATAGTAAAATCGTGGGACCGATAAAAATTTGACGTTATATTAGGGTTGTCGTTACATCCGATGTCGTTATAATCGGGTTAAACTGTATATATATTATAATTAATTCAACCTCAATATTTATGATTAACATTGAACTGAAATGACTGCTCACACTATTCCTAAAAGATTTCAACTGATATTAAAAAGTTTACATAAAAATGTAATTCAGTAATGAAAATTATAATGGTAGAAGTTTTACTGTGGATTAATCACAGTGTACTGTACAATTTACAGTATTGGTAACATAAAAAGAAATTCTGAAATAAAAATATATTAAATTAAAGAAAACAATGATAAGAAAATATAGTCATATCTTGATATAGCAACTTCCTCCTTTATATGGTGCTACCTTCATAATGCACCAATATTCACTTGTGAATGAATCTTCCCTATAAATATTAAACAGAGTCCTCAGTATCTGAATTTTGCATTGTAAATAGCATTGTTTCATCAAATCACACAGCTTTTAAACTCAAACTTATGTATAGACCTCAATATTATATGAAATTTTTATTGTTGCAAGTGTTTCAATTTAGTACCATATTCAGAAGTAAACACATGATGGCTCTACATCAAAGTGTGATAACCACCGGTGAATTGAAGTGTTATATTTTCCATTTTTTTGCGAACGAAACAATGATTAATAAACACTTTCTTGTTAATTTACAAACTATTCTTTAATTTGCTATATGTTATCAGGTTCTTTGTACATTACATTGGATCCCAACATGTAGGCAGTGAGGATACAAAATCTGAGATACCTAAAACAACTCTATATATATATTTTTTTATATTAGTTCTTATATCTATACTTAATCTACTTACAAACTATTGATATAAGAAGGAAAGAGAGGGAGAATATAAGGATAGAATAAGAGGAAGATGGAAATACCCGGGTTTTTACTCTGGATGTATCGTGATACTGGGCAGGGTTACTGTCATCTTTAATCATCTACTCCTATCGTGGAGGCTTTCCTTAGTTATTTTTTCTCCTTCTTTAACGGATATCTCCCATTCTCCTTGTCGATAATCCACTTTCTTCAATATTGTCAGTGTCAAGTTTGTTCAATAAAATTGGCAGTCCAACAGGAAGTTCTTGACCTCCTTGACATAAGATACAAAAATTGTAAATGTCACATTGATTCTTTTGTAAAATTGAAGCAATTTGGAAATAAAAGCGGAAAAGAATTTAACATTAGTAAATAATATAAAATAAATATTGAAAATTATAACGAGATAGTTATGGCTAATAGATATAATATATCTAAATTAATAGATGTTATATGTTTTTTATCAAAGCAAGAATTTGCATTTAGAGAGCATATGGAATCTATTGAATGTAATAACAGAGGTAATTAATTATATTGAACTTGTTTATTTATTAAGTACGTCAGATAAATAATCTATTCAAAATACATTTAGAGAAGTCTACGGTTTTTACTGGCTTATTGAACAAATGGATCTGAGACCATCACTGATGCAATTAACTGATTTTTCCTGGAAGTTGGGCTTCTTACAGAAACACAGCTTCCCTATCATCAAATATCATGGCATGCCACTGCTAATTACAGCGCATGCATTTATGCTCCATGTCACCATCTATGTGTTATGCAAGTGCTTCACATGTAAGAACATAATTTAATTAACAACTTAACTTCAAAATTATGCATTTTTGCAGTCCATTATAACTGGACTAATTTTGATAACATATATATAATAAACTTGATAGAATCATGTCAGCACTCAGAATAACAATACAACTTACATTTGGCACAACACCACTGAAAGGTTGCCAACCCTTGGTCTAGACAAAAGGACTATCTTCAATTTGAGTAGTACAATCCCTTTCCATCAAACCAAATTAAGGAATGGCAATGAGAGAGATATGTCTTGTGCATTGAATTACATTGAGGTTGCCAATAGAACTATTAGTTTCATAATATTGGTGTTTTGAATGCATGTGTCCGTGTCACATTCACAACTAATATATTATTGTGGACTGCTGAGGGCTTCCGTATACAGTACATTAACTGTAAATGAGGAAAAGGAAGTGTGTATATAGTCTTGTAAATCCATAAGTTTTAAGTTGTGAATTAGATATATTGTGTAAATTGAGTCGTAGTAATCATGCTGTTAGAATAAAGATTTTTGTTTGTCAATCATGTGCACATGTTATTGGTCAATGATTGAGTCCTTGTCACAATACTTGTCTTTGATACTCCGTGGATTTCAATATACAGGAAACACTACAATACTCTGTCTGTACAAAACTTTTTCAAATAAAATATGATTCTTACTGTTAATTTATTCTTTCAAATAATTAAAACAAAAAAATTACATTTATTTTATTTCATATATTTGTTTGATATTGGAAAAATCTGTTGAAATAAATTTTTTAAAACAAAAATAAAATTACAAAAGATTTCCTAGTTAAACTAGCATTTTTGTAATAGTTTATTATTAATCAGTTTCAAATAACTAACTAATGTAAAACAGTAATCATATATTTTGGATTATTTGTAAGATTTTATTTTCTCATTTCTAAATTGAATTAACATCCAATTTGATACAAACAATAATCAGAAAGTATTCATAAAATACAAATCTTCAGGTTTCCATTACAATCATTCAATTCATCTAGTTGCAAAAAATGCCATATTAGCCTAATCCCACAAATTTCCTTTTTTATGAAAAATCTTATTGTCATTACACAGCCAAACAAAAGGGAGAGTGGTGACACTATAAGAGAAGACCTTCTAAACTCTGTCATATAATTGCTGCCTTGTCCTAGTTGACTCATCTGTTGGAATTGAGCCTGTGCACTTTTGTAGTTCTTCCCTTGCACAACAACATTTTCATCACTGATTGCCTTCATACTTCTCTTGTGATAGTACCAAAAAAGAAAAATCTTTTTCCCCAATCATGTGTCAATATATATGACCTTACTGCTTCCCTGCCAGGTTTATACCCCTCCAAGTAACAACAGGCAGTTGAACATTCTAGAATTGTACAAAGGATTTATAACTCACAAATGTCACCTATATACAAAATATGACAAATAATTGTCACATGTTAATCGTAGCTATTAAAATTAGATAGATGCAACCTAAGATTATCAAAATTTTCTCTAGGATGCTAAAAAAATTATTTTTTTAATTTTTATAATATTGCAACAATTATATTTCAGTTATTAATTAAATTGCTAAGACAATAATAATTAAAAATGTACTAAATAAATAAAAGTGTCTGCATACTTTGTCCTTGTTAAACACCTCATAACAGTTTTAGGGCAGATTTACTCTAGCCATTTATTAATATATATTTTTTATGAGTGCTAAGTTCCTGAGTTGTTTAGCAAGAACAAAGTATGAAGACACTTATTTATTTAGTGTTTCTTCAAATTTGTGAATTTTTAAAAAATTATATTTCAATATTTTTAATAAAATAGTTTCTAATATATATTTATTAAAAGCTGTTATATATAATATGTAATATTATATATTATTTTCACTAATAATATTTTCAGTAAAATTAAGTATTATTTAATTCATAAATTAAAAATTATTTTCCGTTGTATTAAATTTTTATATATATTTTATTGTTTAACAACTAGTCATATTATTTATCTTATTCAAAATAAACAACTGCTGATGACTTAACATTTATATCTTGTTGATATATATTAATTCATAACTTTAGTTGACATAATTCCAAATGGTATTTTTACAAAGTGAGTTATTCTATACCACAAAAAGAACACAACTTTATTTTGTTGATTATTATTAAAATGAGATTTTCTAATTATTCAAATAGGAAAATTTTTTATTTATTTAAATTTTAGAATATCTGATCAATAATATAAAGCAGATACAAAAGATTATCTTTTACAAGAGAATATCTTCAAATATGTTTTTTGTTNATTATATAATAATTAAATTCTTTTAATTTTTAAGAATATTAATAATAAAAATTAGGCATTGGTTACATTGTTAGCCTTACTACTTTGGACACCCAGGAATGAAATTGTGTAGTCAAAAAATTCCAGGAATTTTTTGTGGTAGTCTGTCCTGGATATGTCAGGCCTTATCACTTAACCCAACCATCAAATTGTGGGACTGATTAAACACAATGAGTCTAAGAAAGATCTTCTAGTGCCCATGAGGCAGAAAGCATCAAAACTTTTAAATTACTAATGATTTAATTATTTTAAAATTATTGTATAATTTTATTTTAAATGAGTTAGGTTTTTGTTTTAAGTAAAATTTTTGTTAACTAAATTTGGAGTTTTTTTGTTTAAAAATGCCCCCCGAAAATTTTTACATTTTCGGTCTTGGGCCTTGAAATGTTGAGAAATGCAAAAAAATTTGGGGATTTTTACCGTATGTATGGATGTTAGTGTGTGTGTGTGAGATACATGATTTTGTTCACTCTCTTTGAAGCTTAATAACTATTGTGCTTTGTGTCAAAAATTTCTGAAATTTTGCATGGACGTTTGTGTTGAGATTGGGGATAGAACAAATCGAAAGAGACAAAAAAACATCAATTTCTACAATGGGCTAAAAAAATGAACAAGTGAACAGAATAAACTGGATACTTGTGGGAGTTGAACTACTGCTCTCAGGTGAGGACAAGACAAAGACAACAAACCAAAGTAATGGAACAATAATTTAATTTAACGACAATTTTATCCCGAAGGATGTACAATGCATTAAGATTTTCTTCTGTAGTACAATTAGGAACCCGACAATAATCTTAATAGACCTTATTGGTTAGAGATTTACACGATCGAGACATTGAAAGAAGGTGGTGAGAATTTGAATCCTCACCACCTTCTTTCGTTACAGACTTGAAATATCATTTGGAGATCTTCATTCCACCATTAAATTACTCTCTTGTCCCTTTGTTTTGCAATCCACTCTGATTATTTTTCACTTCTTTGCACTCAGCTACTTGGTAATGGTTTTTTACGCTCCCAAACATCACTTTATACACCCTACTTTCTTGACAAACCCCTTTTCTTTCCTTTTTCCCAGGGCTTAACAACCATACAGACATCCCATTATGTGAGGACCCGAACAGGGGTCGACTGAGAGGTCCGAATTATGGGTTCGATTGAAAATAAAGAGCTCCTTTTCAGACGATAAGGAAACGGATTAGGTGTCTCGATTGAACAATGCAATTGGTTTTTTTCGGAAAATTAGTTAAACAATGGAAACGGAGAAATTCGAGGAAAACGCGACGAGAGAGAGGATCCATATTCAGTCGCAACGTTGACCTCTCCCGCGCCCTTCATTAGGTTTCGAATTGTCACCAGGTGACTATGAGAGACCAATGGAGAGGCGACGACGGTTAAGAAATCTATAAAACCGCGCGACTCAAGGGACAAAGGTTCTTGGTTCGTAGTTTTTGGTTCTTGGTGTTTGGATACGTAGTGTGTCGTCTCCTGGACGGGCGTGCTCCAGATCTTAGAAAAAAAAGGACATTTTGGAACATCGTGGAAGCATCGTTCTCTGGGTGCTCCTAGCAATCGACAGATTCGTCGGATCGTCCGCGAGAAGCCGCCGAAAGCAGTAATCAACGCCCCGGGGCCCACCGAGTGTTTCACCNATTATATATTATATAATAATTAAATTCTTTTAATTTTTAAGAATATTAATAATAAAAATTAGGCATTGGTTACATTGTTAGCCTTACTACTTTGGACACCCAGGAATGAAATTGTGTAGTCAAAAAATTCCAGGAATTTTTTGTGGTAGTCTGTCCTGGATATGTCAGGCCTTATCACTTAACCCAACCATCAAATTGTGGGACTGATTAAACACAATGAGTCTAAGAAAGATCTTCTAGTGCCCTTGAGGCAGAAAGCATCAAAACTTTTAAATTACTAATGATTTAATTATTTTAAAATTATTGTATAATTTTATTTTAAATGAGTTAGGTTTTTGTTTTAAGTAAAATTTTTGTTAACTAAATTTGGAGTTTTTTTGTTTAAAAATGCTGTCCACTCAGTTTTAAGAAGGCAATATGTGAACTATAAAATATTTTATATTTAAAATAATTCCCATTTTTCTGGAGAAAGAAAAATATCTAATCATAGAGTATTTGATTCTAGTTTTGAAATTAAATTCATATCATTGAAATTTTCCAGTTATGTTAATCATCATTCTTATCAAGATATACTTGGTTTGTCTTTATATAAAATCAGATTTTTTAAACTTAATGTGTTATTAATACAGTATAAGTTCATTAACCTAGTACCTACATGATGCCAGATTACCAAACATTTTTGTATTTTTGTAAAAATTTGACAAGTTATATACAATTTGAATATTGCAGACATTGCTGTATATATTGTACCAGCACATGCCACTGTATTTTTTTATTTGTTTATACATGCTATTTAATCAGTCTGAAGATGATACAGTGCATGACTATATTTTGTTAAGATCAATTGAAAAATCTGCAAAAATGTTAATGAACATGTTATTGTACAAAACGGCATTTGCAATAATTCATATATTGTAATGTAGTTTGAACCTGTCTATCTCAAAAATGTTTTTATCTTGAAATTTATTTTCTTCCCTGCATTTTCAGCTTAAATTCAATATTGTGGGGAAGTACTCGATCTTTAGAGTATTTTCCATGCAGGAACAAAACAGAAAGAAACTTCAAAGAAATAAATCACACACTTTATGACTCCAATTCAAGAAACTTAGTTTATTTTAATCCTTCTAATCACTTCTCTATCCTTTTGCTATAACAGAGACTAAAACAAAGGAAACAACACACACACAAAAAAAAACTCGCAACTCTCTCATTTACACATCATCTCGCCTTTTTCTTTCTTCCAAAAAGTCCTGCTTCCTTCATTGAGCATGCATGATATCCCTCTCTCCCTCCTTGATATGGATTTTTGGTTGTCATTGAGAATGCCCATTTGTTTTTACTTCGTGGCCCACCCAAGGAGCTGGTTACGCAACAGAACACATGATTTTCTGACCACAATTTATTTTCCATGTTTATCTCAAATAATTTTCTTCCAAAATTTTTATATCTCAAATTATGGATTGAAGTATCAATTACAAATTTTGATAATTTTTACTCAGTGACTACATATTGATAACATGAATTGTAGTTGAGAATCATCTCTTGTAATACAGTATATAGTTGCAATTAATGCTGCCTTTCTCTGATTGGCCACTAGTTTGGTTTGCATCTTATTGGTTAAAGAAAATTAGGCATCAGAAATTATTGATAAACTACTTGTTAAGATATGTCAAAAATGTTTTATTTATATCTAATACAGGTAGGTGTGTACTGTACTTGTTATGTATTAATAAAATACCGTACCTCCAATCAAACCTTAAAACTACATTTACTATGTAGGAATCTCTATATCTTGAATCCTATTTTGAATTTTTTCTTAATCCCATAAGATTTGAGATAGGCAGGTTTGACTGTGTTTATTTTCCAGACATTTTAAATACCAAAGCTACACATACTCTGAGTATGAAAAACCTGCTTTTAAGTTACAGGATACCTTTCAGAGGGTGCCAGATTAACCAACTTCTACTTTATCATTTTTTAAACTTTGCAATTAATTTCAGATAATTTTATCTTCTAAACTTTTCAAATTTACAGTTTTCAAATTTTATTTCTGTAAAATTATCAACTATAATAATTTTATTCTTTATTATTTTACAAAAATAATGAAAATTTAATAAGTTATCCAACTCAGTTTATTTTTACTTGAAAAATAAATTAATGAAGAGAGTACATTTTAAGATGATAGCTTCTTATTAAAATTGTTTTGGCATAAACTTTAAATAATTAAAAATATCACCCGTTAATAAAAGACTATACTACTGAAGGTACTAACATTTTTTAAAGTTTTTCTATTATTTTATAAAAATGTATCTGCCTTAGGAATAAGCATAAATTTTTCAGTGTGGTTGTATCTTAATAGATTGTGGGTTTTTAATTTTTTATATGTTAGGATTTTAAAAAATTATTTTATATTAATAAATTTAAATGTTTTTAATTAATGTCATTATTTAATTATTTACAGCTGAAACAAAATCCTAATTTTCATACTGAAAACATAACTATTTATAATAGGAATGAAGCAAAATTAATGTAAGCTTTCTATAATATTATATCTTTAAATTTTCATGTTAATTCATTATAGAATGATAAAATAAATCAAATGATTTCTACTTTTTAAATGATCATATACATATTATTTTCAGAATTGTAGTGTAATGTATGTGCACATGCATATATATAAGCTTTTTAATAATAATTTACATCTGTTAGAAAATGCCTTTATTTATTTTAACTTTATTTTTTATTATTATTTGATTTATTTTTCTCTTACTGGAATTTATCATTTTATATTTTTATGTTATAACTTATGGTGACACTTAACAAGTTTACACTAATACTATTATTATTTTTTTATTTCTTTTCTGCCCTGAGGACACTGGATACTCATCATGAGTTCATCTAGTTCCACAAAGGCTAGGGAGTGAGGAATGGTGCAAGAGTGGCTGTCTAGATATGTATGTATGTATGTATGTATACATATATATATATATATAGGACATCCACCCTCAATCTTTAGCCTTTATATAAAAAATGAGCAGATGAGCCAGACATTGCTTGGGCAAAAAATAACAGCAAAGATTAAAATTATTAGATTATTTTGTATTTCTAACCCTATAATATAATAATATAGTATTTGATTTATAATTACAAAAGCTACTTATGTAAGAGTTTATCACATAAAAGTGACCAATCTAACATTTTAAAAATACTTTAAATTGTGTACAGTAGAGGTAGAAAGTTTTTAAAATGTGTTAGATTGGTCACTCAATGTGATAAACCCTTATGTAAGATAACCTTTTTTGTTATATAAATCAAATACTATAATATAACAAACATTAAAACAAAAACCATATAAAGAGTTTGGTTATTTCAGCCTACCATCATCATATTTATTGCACTACTTGGATGGTACAAAATGAACAATTTCATTGGTCAAGGTGAAAATTGAAAATATGATATTTAAAATTTTTTAAGATATATCTTTTCTTAATGTTAACTCTAGGAAATTGTGCCATTCAAAGCCAAATAACAAATAGTAACATGCCAACCAATCAAATTTGGCACAAAACCAAATATTCAGGCAGAGTTCATATGCCTCCTCTGTAGACACAATCTTTCAGATATCCCCACAACCATACAGACGCTGCCTGAATTGAAAGCAAGCATAACACGCCATATTGTTGTAATTTCTCAAGAAACCTATTGGGCTACTGTTGAACATGCTGTAAGACTCTTTGAACATGTAATTGATGCAAGTGGATTGCACATTGAACAAATTTCGTGAATAAAAACCTTTTGTGTGTTTCCATTTTGTGTTTCTTGTTCTTCATGCGCAATTTTTTCTAGTGGTAGAAATCTGAACTTATTTTTTTTTTTTCATTCTCCTTTTCCCCCATGGTCCATATAACATATATACCAAGTTTCATCAAAATACATCCATGAGAACAGGCTCTATACAAGTCTGAGTAGGGCAACTTTAATTATAACTACCTTGTATGACATTATCTAAGTTAGAAGTATGTAAAGGTAACTGCTGAGTTTTATAGCAATTGGTCAAACATCCAGGAGGGTATAGCAAACATCTTCATTTTATATATTAGATATATTTAATAAAAAGAATTCAACAATGTAATAATGAGCTTACTTTAAAAAAGCAAGAGGTTTAATACAAAAATATAATTTTAAGTCATATAATAATGACACATAAGACAAAATTTGGATTATAAATCAATTAACATCAATAAAATGTAAAATGATTGAAGTATTTTCACATTTATTTATGTAAAGCATCCATATCAAATATCATTTCGTATAACAAATTTGGTGATAACTAACAAGCTGCTTATAATTCAGTGTGAGAGAATTTATTTTAGACATTAAAATTAATTAATAACAATAATTTAAATGTAATTTTTTTTTTAAGAATGTGTTGACATTTAATTGTATAATCATATTTTGTCAATAAGTAGTTTAATTAACTTTTTAATATAAATAAATTATATTTAATTTATAATTTAATCATTTTTTAAAATAATATTTTAGATCTGAAAGATGGAAACTTAGAATAAAAGAGAGATTACAAGAAGGAAATGAAAGAACAATTCAACAGTATTATATATTTATTATTTCTTAAATTATATCTATTATTTACAGTAAGTTTCTTGATTTAACAGACTGCTTGGAAGAAGGGAAAGTCTTAAAATTAATAAATTCTAAAAATTTTTCGGTTTAAAAAATTTCTAAGAACCACAAGTGACGTTCACTCTTTAATTCCGACTCTATCGAAGTCGGAATTAAAGAGTGAACGTCACTTGTGGTTCTTAGAAATTTTTTAAACCGAAAAATTTTTAGAATTTATTAATTTTAAGACTTTCCCTTCTTCCAAGCAGTCTGTTAAATCAAGAAACTTACTGTAAATAATAGATATAATTTAAGAAATAATAAATATATAATACTGTTGAATTGTTCTTTCATTTCCTTCTTGTAATCTCTCTTTTATTCTAAGTTTCCATCTTTCAGATCTAAAATATTATTTTAAAAAATGATTAAATTATAAATTAAATATAATTTATTTATATTAAAAAGTTAATTAAACTACTTATTGACAAAATATGATTATACAATTAAATGTCAACACATTCTTAAAAAAAAAATTACATTTAAATTATTGTTATTAATTAATTTTAATGTCTAAAATAAATTCTCTCACACTGAATTATAAGCAGCTTGTTAGTTATCACCAAATTTGTTATACGAAATGATATTTGATATGGATGCTTTACATAAATAAATGTGAAAATACTTCAATCATTTTACATTTTATTGATGTTAATTGATTTATAATCCAAATTTTGTCTTATGTGTCATTATTATATGACTTAAAATTATATTTTTGTATTAAACCTCTTGCTTTTTTAAAGTAAGCTCATTATTACATTGTTGAATTCTTTTTATTAAATATATCTAATATATAAAATGAAGATGTTTGCTATACCCTCCTGGATGTTTGACCAATTGCTATAAAACTCAGCAGTTACCTTTACATACTTCTAACTTAGATAATGTCATACAAGGTAGTTATAATTAAAGTTGCCCTACTCAGACTTGTATAGAGCCTGTTCTCATGGATGTATTTTGATGAAACTTGGTATATATGTTATATGGACCATGGGGGAAAAGGAGAATGAAAAAAAAATAATAAGTTCAGATTTCTACCACTAGAAAAAATTGCGCATGAAGAACAAGAAACACAAAATGGAAACACACAAAAGGTTTTTATTCACGAAATTTGTTCAATGTGCAATCCACTTGCATCAATTACATGTTCAAAGAGTCTTACAGCATGTTCAACAGTAGCCCAATAGGTTTCTTGAGAAATTACAACAATATGGCGTGTTATGCTTGCTTTCAATTCAGGCAGCGTCTGTATGGTTGTGGGGATATCTGAAAGATTGTGTCTACAGAGGAGGCATATGAACTCTGCCTGAATATTTGGTTTTGTGCCAAATTTGATTGGTTGGCATGTTACTATTTGTTATTTGGCTTTGAATGGCACAATTTCCTAGAGTTAACATTAAGAAAAGATATATCTTAAAAAATTTTAAATATCATATTTTCAATTTTCACCTTGACCAATGAAATTGTTCATTTTGTACCATCCAAGTAGTGCAATAAATATGATGATGGTAGGCTGAAATAACCAAACTCTTTATATGGTTTTTGTTTTAATGTTTGTTATATTATAGTATTTGATTTATATAACAAAAAAGGTTATCTTACATAAGGGTTTATCACATTGAGTGACCAATCTAACACATTTTAAAAACTTTCTACCTCTACTGTACACAATTTAAAGTATTTTTAAAATGTTAGATTGGTCACTTTTATGTGATAAACTCTTACATAAGTAGCTTTTGTAATTATAAATCAAATACTATATTATTATATTATAGGGTTAGAAATACAAAATAATCTAATAATTTTAATCTTTGCTGTTATTTTTTGCCCAAGCAATGTCTGGCTCATCTGCTCATTTTTTATATAAAGGCTAAAGATTGAGGGTGGATGTCCTATATATATATATATATGTATACATACATACATACATACATATCTAGACAGCCACTCTTGCACCATTCCTCACTCCCTAGCCTTTGTGGAACTAGATGAACTCATGATGAGTATCCAGTGTCCTCAGGGCAGAAAAGAAATAAAAAAATAATAATAGTATTAGTGTAAACTTGTTAAGTGTCACCATAAGTTATAACATAAAAATATAAAATGATAAATTCCAGTAAGAGAAAAATAAATCAAATAATAATAAAAAATAAAGTTAAAATAAATAAAGGCATTTTCTAACAGATGTAAATTATTATTAAAAAGCTTATATATATGCATGTGCACATACATTACACTACAATTCTGAAAATAATATGTATATGATCATTTAAAAAGTAGAAATCATTTGATTTATTTTATCATTCTATAATGAATTAACATGAAAATTTAAAGATATAATATTATAGAAAGCTTACATTAATTTTGCTTCATTCCTATTATAAATAGTTATGTTTTCAGTATGAAAATTAGGATTTTGTTTCAGCTGTAAATAATTAAATAATGACATTAATTAAAAACATTTAAATTTATTAATATAAAATAATTTTTTAAAATCCTAACATATAAAAAATTAAAAACCCACAATCTATTAAGATACAACCACACTGAAAAATTTATGCTTATTCCTAAGGCAGATACATTTTTATAAAATAATAGAAAAACTTTAAAAAATGTTAGTACCTTCAGTAGTATAGTCTTTTATTAACGGGTGATATTTTTAATTATTTAAAGTTTATGCCAAAACAATTTTAATAAGAAGCTATCATCTTAAAATGTACTCTCTTCATTAATTTATTTTTCAAGTAAAAATAAACTGAGTTGGATAACTTATTAAATTTTCATTATTTTTGTAAAATAATAAAGAATAAAATTATTATAGTTGATAATTTTACAGAAATAAAATTTGAAAACTGTAAATTTGAAAAGTTTAGGAGATAAAATTATCTGAAATTAATTGCAAAGTTTAAAAAATGATAAAGTAGAAGTTGGTTAATCTGGCACCCTCTGAAAGGTATCCTGTAACTTAAAAGCAGGTTTTTCATACTCAGAGTATGTGTAGCTTTGGTATTTAAAATGTCTGGAAAATAAACACAGTCAAACCTGCCTATCTCAAATCTTATGGGATTAAGAAAAAATTCAAAATAGGATTCAAGATATAGAGATTCCTACATAGTAAATGTAGTTTTAAGGTTTGATTGGAGGTACGGTATTTTATTAATACATAACAAGTACAGTACACACCTACCTGTATTAGATATAAATAAAACATTTTTGACATATCTTAACAAGTAGTTTATCAATAATTTCTGATGCCTAATTTTCTTTAACCAATAAGATGCAAACCAAACTAGTGGCCAATCAGAGAAAGGCAGCATTAATTGCAACTATATACTGTATTACAAGAGATGATTCTCAACTACAATTCATGTTATCAATATGTAGTCACTGAGTAAAAATTATCAAAATTTGTAATTGATACTTCAATCCATAATTTGAGATATAAAAATTTTGGAAGAAAATTATTTGAGATAAACATGGAAAATAAATTGTGGTCAGAAAATCATGTGTTCTGTTGCGTAACCAGCTCCTTGGGTGGGCCACGAAGTAAAAACAAATGGGCATTCTCAATGACAACCAAAAATCCATATCAAGGAGGGAGAGAGGGATATCATGCATGCTCAATGAAGGAAGCAGGACTTTTTGGAAGAAAGAAAAAGGCGAGATGATGTGTAAATGAGAGAGTTGCGAGTTTTTTTTTGTGTGTGTGTTGTTTCCTTTGTTTTAGTCTCTGTTATAGCAAAAGGATAGAGAAGTGATTAGAAGGATTAAAATAAACTAAGTTTCTTGAATTGGAGTCATAAAGTGTGTGATTTATTTCTTTGAAGTTTCTTTCTGTTTTGTTCCTGCATGGAAAATACTCTAAAGATCGAGTACTTCCCCACAATATTGAATTTAAGCTGAAAATGCAGGGAAGAAAATAAATTTCAAGATAAAAACATTTTTGAGATAGACAGGTTCAAACTACATTACAATATATGAATTATTGCAAATGCCGTTTTGTACAATAACATGTTCATTAACATTTTTGCAGATTTTTCAATTGATCTTAACAAAATATAGTCATGCACTGTATCATCTTCAGACTGATTAAATAGCATGTATAAACAAATAAAAAAATACAGTGGCATGTGCTGGTACAATATATACAGCAATGTCTGCAATATTCAAATTGTATATAACTTGTCAAATTTTTACAAAAATACAAAAATGTTTGGTAATCTGGCATCATGTAGGTACTAGGTTAATGAACTTATACTGTATTAATAACACATTAAGTTTAAAAAATCTGATTTTATATAAAGACAAACCAAGTATATCTTGATAAGAATGATGATTAACATAACTGNGACACTTGCAACACCCCTACCCTTGAGCTGCCCAGTGTATGGGTCACGTTGTATAAGCGATTAAGCGAGTACTCGTAGTCTCTAGAATGCATGCAGCGAGAGCATAGCTCTGCGCATGCGCCAGCTCGCACTTCACGGAGCTATCTGCTCGTTCGGCTTTCGAATTATGTTTAAATTTCTACGTGTTCTTAACGGCTTTAGCACAATTTCAATTTATATTACGCGTTCTATTTTGTGTTCGATAATTTTTGTCTAAATCGCCTGAGGACGACGACAATAAGCTCGTCGAAAGTACTAGCAATAATAAAACGCATATAACGCCGAACTCAGTGTTTTTGTTTTTGTTTAACAATGAAAATTATAAACTAATTTAATAATGTCAAATTCTGCAGTTTAATCAGTATTACTTGAATTTGTACACAATGGAAAAATTTTTTAAGTTGGACATTGAAGACTAAACAACATATTAATTCTAGTCAAATTAAAACAATGTTCCTTGTTCTAGTTGAAACAGATTGGATCTGACAATAGTGCTGGTAAAGATAGTGATAAGGAACTGAAGACACTAAAAATCATACCCATTTCTGGAAATCATCAGAATTCAATGATGCATATCCCTATTGCATCTGAATTTGAGGTATAATCATCACAACAACGGAGACACAAGTTTTTTCATTACCATTACCAGTGTTGCCTTCTTTTCAAAATTGTTGACCCGGACAATAGGTTTGTTCCAACACAAGTCCCTGACTGGTTTGAATTTGAAACCATACAGAAAAAAAATGTCATTTTACAGCCAAGAACTGAACAATTTGCATGCCAGTTTTAAACCAGTTAGGGACTCATGTTGGAACAGACCTAGTATTTGCCAGAGATATTTGCAAGTTAGAATTTTAAAAGTACATTTTCTGTCACTCTTAGCCTAGGGATAAGATGAGGATAAGTTTGGGGTGTGTGAAGTTAAAGTGTTTAACCATTAAAATAAAATACTCACAAATATTTTCATAAATTTTTTTCGTAAAGAAAATCGTTTAATTTATATTTAAAATAATGTAATGTTATAAAATACAAATAATTCATAGCAGTATGATGTGATATGAAGAGTTTAGGATTATGGAAAGACAGAATTTCAATAGGAAATGGCTCTTTACCTAAAGATGATAGTAAAATGTATATATCTAAAGAAGAGAAAGAAGTAAGTATAAACTCTATCATTTTAATAAATGAATGTTTTAAATTTTTACATAATTATTTGATGGTAATATAGAAACTGAAAATATATAGTGATTTTATATATTATATATATCTAATTTATTATTATAATCTGTCAAAATTAATAAAATAGTCTTAAAAGCATATATATCAGTATGCATTTTTGTCATTATTTTTTTCATTTAAAGACTAATGAATAATTTCATATTAATAAAGAACATTGTCAATAAATATGATTTAAAAAGGTTAATTATTTTTATATGGAAATTAAAAAAAACACATGAATACAGGTTTCAGGTTCAAATAGAAATAATATGAATGTATCTGTGCAAAGTAATGATGATAAAATCGGAAAAACTTCAGGTTAGTATTTTTTTTTTCTTTTTTAATTTTTGAAATTTTTTTAACTTCAAAATTATTTATATTAATTTATGGGCACGAGGATCTTCATATTATTGAAAATTATGATTTAGATCACTTCAAAAAGTTTATTCTTGTTGGAAGATCATATGCACCCACTTTCAAATTGACTTTCAAACACATAACTCACAAAATATCCATATGAAATTATGTTAATAATGTAAGAAGTAAAGAATTCAAAATATTTATTACAATAAATAAAGCTTTAATTTCATATTATTATACATAAAATTATCAAAATCTACTTTTTATTTTCAAATATAAAATATCAAAATACATACAAAAATCATTTTGTATGTATTTATATATAAAAGTTTTAAAATTTATTTTAGCTAGATATATTGAAAATAACAAATAGTAATTCAAGAGTTAAGAATCAGATTTTTGCATCAATTTAATTAAGATTTTTTTTTAGTCATTTTGATTTTTGAATTATTAAAAATTTTGCATTTATGAAGTTATTATATGTTATTACTTCAAGAATTATAACTTTACAAACAATTAAACTAAATCAATATATAAAGTTTGAAAAGCTGATTTAAAATAGAAATTTATATTTTTACACTACTTTAAAATATACTTTCTTTATATATATTTTTCTGGTGTTCTTAATCCTTCAAATTGATAACTTAGGCCATTTAAATCAATAAAATAATTTTCAGAAAATATTTGATAAATATTCAAAATAATAATAAGAATTAAATTTGCAAATACATTCAAAATTTATTTTCCAGGTCATAAGCTTTCAAAACAAAAATCTTATTTTGATGGGTAAGATAAAATTATTAATTACTCTTAATATTCTCAAATACATAAAGTAATGGTTTAATTTATTATTATTTTTATTATTATTTTAAGGATGTGCCATTACTTAGAACCATTTAAAGAATTCTTTAATAATTTGTTTTCTACTCAACAACTAACTGTAGATGTATATGTATATATGTTTTTTTGTGATTTTATTAACTTCTTCATTATTGCTTTTGGTTATTGGGCTTTTGGGGTAAGTCTTGTAAAATTCATTTGTTCATTTGAAATACATTCATTCATTTTCCAATTAATTATGTTTTTAATAAGACCAATAATGATTACAGGCAGGTACTGATGAAGGACTGACTTCTTACTTTCAAGAAAATAATGTAAATATGAAATTTAATTATCTGTTGTTTTAAAAATTAATTAAATGATTTAATTTACTTGTTTATGAATTATGAGCTTATATTGAAATTTTTATTTGAAATTTTATTCTATGTACTATTTTTATTTATTTTTGTCAATTAAAATTAGAAACAGAAAATATTTAAAATTGAATATTTTTTCAAACGAAAAATATTGTATGAATGTAATTAATGGAACATATTATTCAAAAGTTATGACATAAGTCAATTGATGATAACATGATTTATTTTATTCATTTAAAAAAATACAAATTTTTGAACTGGAATACAATAATTAAATAAAAATATGCTTTACATAATGGTTTTCTAAGAGGGCAAATTAGATATATATTGTGCATGCATATATAATATTTTAATATTGTATTTACTAAATAATTATACAATCATTTAAAAATTGTTGAAAATATTTTCACTATCATTTTCTAAACTTTTCAAATATAAAACATTTATTAAAAAGTAATGTATATCTATGTATATTGTTGAACATCTCTAATAATAAAAATACAGTACTTTTAATTTAAAAAACTTATTTTATTTTAATTTTTGTTATATGATGTCAGATGATTTAATTAATTAATAAAGGCATCTTTGTGCCATTCTAGGGATTTGAGACCAGGTTGTAAAATTTAATTATCTGTTGTTTTAAAAATTAATTAAATGACTTAATTAATATATATATATATTTCATTTTTTGTATATATTTATATTTTTTCTTGATGTCTTCCCTGTTTCTTTGATTCTTTGTTTTTTTGTTGTTGTTAATTCTGGAATGTTCCTACCCAACCCTTCCCATCAGGTATGGAAAGTAAAAAGCCCTGAGGGCAAAACTGGGGGTATGAGTGGCACTTTTTGGCCAGATGTCCAGGGAGAAGCAGGTGAATTGGAAGTGCTCTAAGTCTAGTGTTGTCACCTTTCCAAAATTGCTGACCCAGACAATAGGTTTGTTTCAACACAAGTTCCTGACTGGTTTGAATTTGAAACCATACGAGGCACGCGCAATGTCATATTACAGCCAAGAACTGAATAATGCACATGACAGTTTTAAACCAGTTAGGGACTTGTGTTGGAACAGACCTAGTATTTGCCAGAGATATTTGCAAGTTAGAATTTTAAAAGTACATTTTCTGTCACTCTTAGCCTAGGGATAAGATGAGGATAAGTTTGGGGTGTGTGAAGTTAAAGTGTTTAACCATTAAAATAAAATACTCACAAATATTTTCATAAATTTTTGTTTTATTATAATTTCACAATTTCTACAAAAACCGGACAAATTAATAATCAATCCAGACCATAAATTTAAAAATCTACCTGTCCGGGTAAAAACCAGCCTGGTGGCAACACTTTCCAAGTTGTTAGAGGCATTGGCTAGAGCCACAAATAGAAATCTCAGAGTAGAAGTCTCAACTGGAGACTGAAGGAAAATCAAAAGTGGGAAAATTTTTAGGCATATCCTAACAAAATAAGGAAGACCCAGCACCCTGTTTCGTGAGGACATTGGAACTGAAATTTTGTTGCCGCACCCCAAGATATGTCTAGAATTGGGTACCTTCTTTCCTGTAAACTTCTCTTTCATCTACCTATATCCTATCTTTCTAATTACTTTATTTTAGTTTTAAGTAGGATTAAATAACTTCAGGTCACGATCGGTATTATTGGATATATTATAATTGTCATGCTTATGTATTCTTGCGATGATTCAATCAATTGTGGATCTAAAGTTTTATATTTTGAAGGAAACAATTTGTAAATATCCTCCAAAATCTGGGTACTGTAAAAGAGTTGGAACCTGAAAAAACTGTGTTCAGACACAAAATAAAGGTATTTTCTTTGTGTATTTTATCTTTGTCTAATTGCATTTCACATTGAATATCACAAGGTCAAGAACTTGAGAAAATTTTCAGGGGCAGTCTGTCCTAGATTTGTCAGGTTCTGCTCATCATTCAGCTGTTTCTATTTTGGGCCTAGTCAATCCCATGATATGCTTGGAAAAAGGCTTTCTAGTGTTCATATGATAAAGAAAGCGTAGAAAAAGATAGTTTAGTTGTATTACCAGGGGCAAATTCTTGGGGCTGGCTTAGCATGTGGCACATGCTAAGCAAGCACGGAGAATATAATTTATATCTACAACAGTATTTTTTCTAAAACAAAATAATAATTTATTTTTTGTTTTTTTATTATTTACTATCATACTTATAAATATGTATTTTTTTTCTTTAGGTTCCTACATCATTTTTAATAATGCTTTTAACACAGTTTGGTTTAATTATCATTGATAGAGCATTATATTTAAGGAAATGTATTTTAGGAAAACTGATCTTTCAGATTTTTACTGTGTTTATTGTTCATTTGTGGATGTTTTTTATATTACCTGCTGTTACATTTAGGTAATTACTAGATAAATAAATTAATTAAATTGTATATTGATGTTCATTTTTTATATATCATATTTCTTATCTATAGATTAAAAGTTTAATACTGTAAGGTCTCTTTTTATGCGGATTATTTTTATGCGATTTTGAAGTTGTGCGGTTTGTATTTCATCCAAAAATTTCTTGGACAAACATACATATAGGCTTGTTTAGGAAGGCCGCGTATAGACAGTCTCCAAAAATCGTGGAAC